ATATACAGGAACTAGATAAAATATCTATTCTATTTATGACCTTATAAAGACACACCGCTCGGCAAAAACATCTATTATCCAAATATTGACGTGTTTATTTCCTAACAAACTTACCGCTTTGTACTCATACTGCAGGTTACGAGCAGTGACGTCCGCCATGGCGGTGTTTTTCTTTCAGCTGTCGCTGTTCGCTCTACAAATATTCAGAGCTGACTGAACTCTGCTTTATCACTCTAACTCTAGCGCATCGGTTCAATATTCAGATTTCGTATCAAAATATTTCTCCTTAATCTATTAGATAATGCGTTTTTCCTACGTAACAACACCGCTGCTAGCACGAGCGCACAACAGGCTTTCGCTCGCTTCCTCTTCCGGGGTCAACCGGGTGAACTGAATTCAAATAAGGGAAAGGAAAATCTGCATCGCCCCCTGGTGGCTTTGCGAGTCACGACGGAATTTTAATTGTATTGACGGCTATGGTTGCTTTACTACGGAAGAGGATTAAGGTCACTGGGCAAAAAAAAAGAAGTTAATTGATTTTTAAATTTTATTTCAGTTTAATATGGGGAAAAAAGTCATAATTCTGAGATCAAAGTCATAATTCTGAGAAAAAAGTTAAAATTATGAGAAAAAAGTCAGAATTCTGACTTTTTTCCCCACATTAAACTGAAATAAATTTTAAAAGTCAATTAACTTTTTTTTCTTTTTTTTTTCCAGTGGCCCTAATCCTCTTCCGTACATTACCCTACCTACCACTGGTCTCTATTTATTCCCTGGATTGCTGATTGCCCATTAGTACTCCCTTGTTAGACCAGTCGCAATGTAAACAATACGTGCGCTACAGCATCTAACAACAATGATGTTCTCATTTTCAGGGGGGACTTAAGACTTTTAAAATAAAGAAAATTAATTAATCACTTTGACACACACTTACTGTTTCATTGCATAAGTAGATCAATTTAACTTATAAAAAAATAGGCATGGGTTATAGGCACATCACATTGCATAGTCATTATGAAGTCTCTAAATCATGTAATATAACATATTATACAAATCCATCACAATAAAATTTATGTGTTAATGGAACATTACAATAGAGATGTGCCAAAAGAGCTAAATTGATTATGTAGGGGTAATATACATGTATTTATTACATTGTTATGGTAATTACATCTTACGTATAATTTTTACATTTTACATAAAAACTGAATTACAAGTACACATCTGTTAATGCTATAGTATTTTTCTATTTGCAAATTGTGCACGCATGATGCCATATACGTTTATACTGTGTCTGTGCATTAGCCTACAAATCTGACAGATTTACAGTAATGCTAAATTACTGAACCAATTGAATAACTCCACAGAGCTTCACTTTCTACACTAACAAAATCACATAAATTGGTAAAGTAACAGGCAAGATCAAGTTCATATTTTGCCTTTTATTGTTAGTTACAACAAGAATCTGATCATTTGAAGTAAAAACAAAACATACACGTACATGTATGCACACACTGACAGTGAAATTATCTGTGAAACTACTCCCCACAGCTTCGCAAAATCCTTGTTTTTGCAGCCAAATGCTACACATGTAGGCATTTTAACTGCGTCTCCGTGGGAGTGGGGAGTACCAGCATGACAGACGGTGGCTTCACTTTTTTTCGGGCAATCAGCAAGCCAGTGAATAAATGAAGAGCAGTGCTACCTACTCATATGGAGTATGGCTCAAACAATTTTATATCATGTTAAGCAACTTTATTAAAAAATATTAAGAATACTTTTACTATTTGAATTATTTTTGGTATGCTTATTTAATTAAATGTTTAATTATTTCTTCTAAATTCCTCCAACATTATATTTTACACACTAAAATAATATGCTCTGTTGTCTCATTTCCCTCGCAATATTAGCAGTTTACTGTACTGTGATTCTAATTTCAGAAATAATGAGCTGTAACGTCCAGTATGTCCTAATCTAATCCAGCCAAAGGTTTCTCCTTCCTGCTCTCATCCCTACTACTCTCTTTTCAATCGCATAATATAAAATTCTGTTCTATTTATTTCACTTTACCCCCACTTTTTGTTGAATTGCACTCTTTGCTTCTAAATTGCTTGTGCTTACTGTAAAGTTAACTTTTTCTGATAAATTGTCCTTTTTGTGCTAATATTTAGTCTGGAGAGCCATTTTCAACTGAAGTTCAGCTAATAAATAGGTGTTGTTTTGGAGAAATTATGTGAGCTTTAAAAAAAACCCCAAAACAAATGAAAAAAAGTTGTATTGTAACAGGGGATTTTGACATTTTTAACGAACCACCATGTTGTTTGACTTTTTGGGTTTTAAAATGAAGGGGAACGTTTTATCTGTCTTTGGACAGATAAATACATTAAAGTCAAAAACAAATTGTTAAGATAAAATTATTCTAAGAGAAATTCTTCTTTCTAATTTTCTCGGTAAGAAACCCAAGCTCATTTTGGGACAACAGGTTCAAATAAATCTTTTGAACTGTACATCAAGTAGTTTTGTTCCAATCCTTTCAGTACTGCTGTCTGTGATGGTGGGGTCAATAAAATATAGTTCAGGCTGTACATTGTGGTCTACTCTTACAGTTAATTTACTTGTCTGATTTTTTTCATGATTTGCACACATTTCTTTCACTTCCTTTTTACTAAATATTGCCTTTATTACACTCAAAAAGAAAGTGGTTAGATTACTGGCAGATGTTAAAATATTTGCCATGAGTAGAAATGAAATAACTAAATATGAAATTAGAAAAAAAAACTGCCCACAGGTGGTGTTTTATTCAATTCAAAGCTGTTTATTTATTTAGCGCCAATTCACAACACATGTCATCTCAAGGCACTTTACAGTTAACCAGATCATACAGTCAAACTGATTCAAAGTTTTCTATCTAAGGAAAACCAGTTGATTGCATCGACTCATTGACTTGAAGGCAATACCTCACACCAAGCATGCTTCTAGCGACAGTGGAAAGGAAAAAGTCCCTTTTAACAGGAAGGAACCTCGAGCAGAACAAGAATCAGTGTGTGCAGCCATCTGTTAAAAAGAGGTTTATCTCAATGGCATTATTCATGCAAAACGAATCATCAACAGTACAGCGCTATGGTGATACAGTTATCTATGTGCCGGTGCACAATTTTTGCATATGAACTTTTACAATGCTGTTTTTTATTATCATTTTGAATATTTTCCGTTTTTATCTGAATGTGTCATAAATAACCAAAATCCAGCCATCCATTTTCTCTCACAGGCGAGAGGCGGGGTACACCCTGAACAGGTCTCCAGTCCATTACAGGGCAAATAACCACAATGTTTTTTTTGTTTTTTTTAATAATAAGTTATTTTTTGTTTGTTTTGTTTCTGCTCTACACATTTTTTGTTTTATTATTATTATTTCCATATAGTTTATCCTGTATGCATGTGTAAGCTTTTTTGTCTTGCTTTTGCAGCAAAGTATTATTAATTTTAAAATCCGCTGCAGTCCTACTTTTCACCACTAGATGGCAGCAATTCACCTCTTGCTCAAGGGCGGTTTAACCTCTTCCGGAAGCAATTATCGCTACATGAGGTAAATATTAGACTTATTCGCCATCAGTTCTGGGGGCTTTATGGTAAAGTTTTGCTCCATTGTTGAGGTAAAATGTTTATGAGCAGAAAAAAGAGCGTTTCGTTTGACAAATCAAGTGGTAAACAATTTTATAACAGAAAGAGGAAGGTGCAGTGCATGTGGTCAGGACTGCTTCTCTTAAAAAAAAAACATACTTGCAGATTTGTTTTAAGATTTACAAGCTGATGATATATATTTAAATAGGCATGCGTGGTAACGAGGTGCTTTTTTAGAATCCTGTTTAATGAGCCAATATGAAGGTAAACCCCGGGACAGACAGGCACAGATCAGAATGTGCTTTAAAACACAGGCATGTGGTATAAATGATTATTTTACAAGAAAACTGCTTAACAGATGAATAATTTGATTAATTCCCACACTAATGGAAATCAGCTATTGTTCCTCAGAATGTGGACAACATGATCTTTGTAGTGCTCTGTCACAGGAACACCACATGAGTACAGCTCAGCTGTCTGAGCAGCTGTTCTCATGACGTCATCTGCAAACACACACTGTCCTGGATCCCCCCCAATAGGAGTGCCAGAGGAAAATAAACACATAAACACATACAGTGAGAGCCTGTGCATGTGCAGCACTAAGCCTGGATAAAGCGGAACGGGATCAGATTATTTCAGGTTGCAGGGATTAATATTTCCTGTCTGACCCAGACGGGGTTTGAACCGGCCTCTGAAAGGTTGGCCAGGGTGGCATATTAAAAGGTGAGAGCTGGGGCTCCTTTACACTGTTCCTCTTATGTCTGATTTAATGGCTCCTGGAATTATGACAGGTCTGATCAGTGGGTAGCACTGCCGCCTTGCAGCAAGAAGGTCCCAGGTAAAATACCTGGGCCGGGGTCTTTCTGCATGGAGTTTGCATGTTCTCCCTGAGCATGCATGGGTTCTTTCCGGGTGCTCTGGCTTCCTCCCACAGTCAAAAAAATATGACTGTTAGGTTAATCGGCTTCTCTAAATTCCCCTTAGTTGCGAGTGTGTGTGTGAATGGTTGTTTCTCTCTGTGTTGCCCTGTGATGGACTGGCGACCTGTCCAGGGTGTTCCCTGCCTCTCGCCCGTAGACAGCTGGGGACTTGGGATAAGCGTGTTACAAAATGGATGGAATTTCAGTAATTCAATCAAATAGAAAATTCAATTTGAATTCTCACCCTCATTGGAAATCACAAAACAATGAATAGAACATTGAAAGAATGCACAAATATAGCAGACTGTGTTTGCTTTACTACATATTTTAAATAGAATCACTAGAATAAACTGGGATATTTTTATGCATCCTGACTTTAGTCATTCATCAGCATTTACTGTAGTGTGGTAAAGTGAAATTGTCGACTGTATGAACAAAAACAAAGAGAGTGAGGCTTGGTTATGTCTCTCTGTACAGTTTTATTTACATGATACTATTCTGTTGTAATGCTAGATAGCAAGATTATATGCAATACATAAATATCAACACAGTTTGTTGTTTTTTTTTTCCACTTTTTTGTACAAATTTGCATATAACTAAGTCAAAAAAAAAAAAAAAAAGAAACTCAGGCGGTTATTTCAATGAAAAACATCCTCACGGGGGGGGGGGAAATAAAGTCACAAACATACATGTGTCAGGCAGTCATGAAAACGCACTTCTTTGTTGGTTTTTGCACTGGGATGTGCACATGCACACACACACAAATGCACACAGGCGCTCTATAGATGTATAAATCGCTTGACAGATGAGAAGTTACATCTAATCTCAGTTTCTATGTTTTTTTTTTTTTTTATAAATCTAGCTCTGGCATGCTCCTGTACTTCTGTAAACATGTGCTGATTAACCGGGTAGATCCACAGCTAAAAAAGGACAGTGGGGAAAGGGTGGGGTGGACGGGGGGCACCCCCACATACTAACACACACACACACACTGTGCTCACATGACTGTTCTGTTAGCGCATAAAAACCCCAAAAAGATAAAATCCACAAATGCACCGAATCCATGCGCCAACGGCAGTATGTAGAAACAACCCCCCCCCCAAAAAAACAGATAATTGTCTCTGCTAATTTAAAAAAAACGCCCCAAAAACCCTAAGGCGAGTGATACTTCTGAAACACTAACGCAGATGAAGAGCAGTTCGTGCATTTATTTCACTCATTTATTCCCCTTAAAAACATTGCAGCTCATCAGGAACGGCTGGCAGTGTCCGGCCACTCGTTAGCGCTCGCCACTCTGCACCAGGCCATCCATCACAGAGACGGGACTCGTCCTTATAACGTCACGTTCGTTGTTCAGATTTGGTGAAAAAAAAAAAAAAGTATTTTCTGTGGGTGTAATGGAAAAGCAACCAAGCTATAAAAGTCAACCCAGGCGGGCTGGAGGGTCAATGTGATGATGAGATACAGGGAAGACAACAAAGCAGCTCTGAGGTAGGTAAAGCTAGGAGAGAAGGTAAAAAACAAACATAATCCTCCGGTTTGAGAAAGGTGACGCTGAAGTTTTCTTAGGATTGAAGGACAAGGCGTGCAGATGATTCAAGGGTTTAGTAAAAATAGCTGTTTGGCACAAAAATGCAACCTGGAACTGGTGAGAGGAGCACAGCATATCCTGAACATCGTGCCTAATCTGCTCTTATTAAAACACATATAAAAAAAAAAAATAGCGGCAAATTCACACCACAGAAAAAAAAAAGGATTAAAACAATCTAATGAATTAATCAAAAATGTAAAGAAAAAAAAATGATCATTCATGCATCTCCCTCAGGCAGGGTCTTTCGATTTTTTTTCTTTTTTCATCATTTTGCAAATCAAGTCCTTTCGATTTAACCATTCACGCTCATGTCAAAGTTTCTCATTCATCCTCCAGTCTTTCTCAACGTTGTTTTTTCCTCATTTCCAACACTGTTTTCGTTTTTTTGTTTGTTTTTTAACCTATATTCTCTGGATCTTGTCAGCCACAACCACGGGATTTTCTTTACGGATCTTGGCGGCAGCCTCGGCCTTGTAATCATAGGGACAGTTGTGCTTGTCAGAGTATCGATGGATGCCGCAGAACAGGTTACCGCAGCGACAATCAAACCCTGAAGGCACAAAAGGGCAAAGTTTAAACCACAACATTAAACAAGAAAAAAAAAAAAAAAAAAAACTGACTTAAAAGCTGCAATCTTAGAATACCAAGACGAATGCTTACCTGTAAGGCCAACCCTTTTGCGGCACATGAAGCACCGGTTCTTCTTGGGTTTGGCCGATTCACCTTTGCCTTCCTCATTGCTGGAAGCAGCTACAGGAGAAGGACTAGAAGCAGCAGGCTGGCTTACAACTATACATAAAAGAAAAATAAAAAAAGGTGCATCATGCGGGTGAAATGTACTAAACGCAGCAAACCATTGTATAGATACGTCCCAAATCATCTATTGTAAATAAGTACTTGTTATTTTCAGTCTTTTTACAAAACATACGCTACAACAATGCAATACGTTTATAAGAAGGAGCCCTCTAGCTACTGCGAGATGAACCATTTAGAATTGATCTTGCATTGGGAAAAGCTTTAAATGAAAGCTTTCATATATTGCTGGATGTCAACAGTGGACGATTTTAGAAGAGATCTTTATGCCATTTTCTCCACCGAACTGTTGCCAGATTTAAATTATATTTCCTCAGGCTGCCAACGTAAAACGTCTCACTGCTCTGAGATTGTTTTCACTAATGGCAATTTGTTCATACATCTACCGCAGGTAGGGGAACCGTTACTATAGCTCTAAGGTTACTCTTGAAAGCTACTATTAAATTAAGACTTTTTCCCCTATATCAATTAAATCAGATCATGTTAAATAGTTGTGTTCAAACATTTGTGCAAATATTGTGCAAAAAGCAGAATTATAGTCCGGGTTACACTGTGAAAATCTGCTTCTACCCTCTATGCTTCTCAATTTTAGGTTGGCCTTTTTGCTGCTGTCAGATAAAAGCACTCTACACTGAGCATGGCTCATGCAGGCAGGATCCAATCTGAGTATCTCCTCTAGTTAAAGGATATTTTTAAACAGGCTTATTTTTAGATACCATCTCCTTCTTAGAAGCTCCAAGTAAAAAACAGCTGTTGAGTTTAAGCTTTGAAAAATCAAAATAAAACCAGGCTTTCAGGCAATGTGTGCCTTGACGTTTCTATCAACTGTACATACATGTTTATGATACAAGCGTGTTTTCTTGGGCGGGGGGGTGGGGTCTTACCAGGCTCTAGGAGTTCGGACTTATCCTCCCTGGAGATGCTCATCTCTGTCATCTGTTGGGTTACAGGAAGAGATCCTTGAACAGTCCTGCTGGTTTAAAATTGAAAAAGAGACCTGTCAGTCTGGAAGACGTTCATAATTATTGCAATAAGAGGGTTTATTGATCGCGCAGAGCCATCTGCAGCCATTGCTGACCTAGACATGTCTGGTGAGGAGGCAGGGGAGGCGTCAACCTTAGCTAGACTGGCTTCTAGTCTCTGGATGGCTGACGCCTCTGAGATGGGACTAGCAGTGGAGCCTAAATGAGAAAACGAAATTAGAAATGAAAATTTCCACTAAGACCGAATAAAATAAGGAGGATTGACGTAGAAGATAAAAACAGAAATCAGCTGGCTTTAGCGGTGTTTGTTAGGCATGCATACAATCACTGGATTTTTATTTTAATATGAATCATTCTATTTAAATAGTTATATTTTATTTTACTACAAGGTTTGCAAGTGGCCTTACCCATTGGGCTCATGCGGTCGCTGCTCTGCTGTCGCGTCAGGTGTTCCTTGTAGCAAACAGAGCACATGCCATTGGTTCGTGGGTTGCCGTAGAAACCACAGCCTGTGGCACAAAGCATGGGGACCGGGCTCTGGTTCGTCTCTTGAGCCATTGCTAGCAAAAAAAAAAAAAAAGAAAAAAGAGGGCAAATGTTTATTGTAGTGAAAAGGCGCCAAAAGAGAAGCACCTTTACTTGGAAAAAATACAATTTAAAATAAGTTATCTCTGTGGTTTCCAGAGGACACGTCTGTCTGTTTTAGCCTGAATACAATATGGAGCATTTCTCCGCAGGAAGTTTAGATAACAAACAACGCGCCCTCTGTTGTGTTCACTTTTTCCCCTCAACATAGCTCTGTTCACAGCCCTTTCTACCCTGTGCTCTCATTTAGTTAACGTCTCTTCAAAACCTTTTCTGACGAACCGTCATTCCTGTTAGAGTAGGTTTTGATACCATGACCTTATCGGGCCAATTACTGTACTTCCTTTACTAAAACACAAAGCAAAGCTCTGACTCACAACCCTCTCCACATAACGACAAACATTTCTCATCAGGGACAACAACCGAGGGTTATGAGTAACAAACTAGGTCGGCAGTTTAAGAGGAAGGTGTTCAGGGGGGAAAACGTCCTGTGCCGTATCTCACACACACATACAAAAACAAGCTTCTGTGTGTTCTTAAGCAATTTGGCAGGACATGTAGTGCTGTGACGTCATTGCCTGCCTTTGATGCAACATCGACCCCACAGGAAGTTGTGTAATGGGAGACGCTGACTTCTACACAACACTTCAAAAACTCCTCTGACGAACAGAGACAACCAGACCCAGGTCTGCTCGTCTTTATTGACCCACTGTTTTGCATGTCATCTGATCACATCAACAGCCTCCTATTTCCCTTACAAACAACCTTTGACTCTGCTGTGACACAACAGCTGCTCTGATTGGTCCGAAAGCTTGTTTATATTCTGGCCGCAGACAAACAAGAGACGAATGTTAAAGGAGAGGCCTGCAGGCGATTCAGGAAGTCTTGTATCAGAACATTTGGGACCTTCTTATCTGCAAGTCACAAAATCTTTGGCTAAACCCCTCCACCCACCCTTCTCTGCCCCTTTACACCGACAAGCTAGCACTTCTCTGCCAACAAAGCTCTTCTTGGAAAAGCTTACAAAGATCACTGCCACTGGTGTCACGTGTTCAACTGCTGACCCTTGAAAAAAATACCAGACACAGCGAATGAGTTAGAGACTTGCAGGAGACCAAAGGTTTCCCATATAAATGAAAGTGCAGAATCGATGGTTCAATACATTAATAATAACTGCATTACCAAACGGACATAAAAAATGTTTTCAAACAACTATAGTTCTATAAAACTTCTTTTAAACTCCAATCTTTTTTCCTTTATAACTTTTAAAAGGTATAGCTAAGCTCACATCTTGGTATAATAGTTGCAATGTATGAAATCATCAATTCAATTTTTAAAAATACTTGAGTTTTTGTCAATCTCTAAATTATTACCCCTTATACATTCAGATGGGTTTACTAAATAAAAGAAAATACATTAAAAAGTGTGCATCTTGGAGTGTTATGTAAGAGACTGTTTCAATTTACAGTGGATTATGTTGGCAGTTACATTTTCAAAGCAGATATACTCAGATCACTTTAATTTGTACTTGCTTTCAAACTATAGATCATATTCCTTTTTATCTATAGTTCAATTAAAAATTATCTGGTTAATCTTAGTGTATCAAAGGATCTCTCTGTCTTGTAGTTTGTTGATCATTGGAATAGGAAAGTTGGACCTCAGAGATCACAAGAAAGCCAAAAGATGTGACAATTAAGAAAAAAAAAAAGAACATTAATTAATTTTTTTGAGTATTGCTTTCATCAAAGCAATACAAAAAAAGACTACATTTAAATTCTATATTTATAGGAAGCCCTTTCAGCTCCCCTTGTCCAAAGGATGTGATAAATCTTCAGTTTTATAATCGTTTAAAAAAAAAGCAGCATAAAATATTGAAATAGTTACCTGTGTTGCTTATTTATCTGGCATTTGACTGCAATGGCTTTCATTCCAAAAGGACTGTGACCTTAATAAGGCGCATTATGCATTAGAAAACCCATCTGACAGGGCAAGTCAGGGAGTTTCCAGCACAGACAGCCACTCACCACAGTTTCCTTGAACAAAACTGTTAAAACACACGCATTCATAACCAACCAGCACGACTCAGCCATGTTTTCCACATACTAGCAATTTAAACCAACATGTATGGGGTTAACTTTAGCAAACAAAGGGGGAGCTCATATTTCAGGCCTTCCTGTTAGGTTACAAAGTCCTGAGTCACAGTGAAAGACAGGACAGAAACTGGTCATTATTCTCTATCAAAACAAATAAAAATGAAAAGAAATAAACACATGAAGTTGGAGGAAAACGAACCAACGTTTAGCCTATATTTAAACAGGCATAAAGCCGGATTGAACTGTCCTCCCTTTGTTTCTTCTTTCCTCCTTTGTCTGCAGCCTGTTTGCTTCCTGTTTTTAAATCGCCCTGTTTGTCGCATTTGTCTCAACAATTCGACCTAAAACGAAACCCCAAAATGCCCCTAAGAAAAACAACGTTAGAAATTCAGATTATATAATCCTAATCAAACGCTTGGACTTTTATTTTAGAGCCCAAACGTCGACCGAAACCCAGATTCAGCAAACAGCTCCAACTACAAGCTAAAGCTCCAGTTTTACTGATGTAAAGAAGCTGAAGCTGTGGGGTTCATTTCAGAGCAACCTCTCTCTCGCTCTACTTGTCTATTCGGCTTATAAATTTTCTATTTGTAGACAGGAATTAACAGGCTTTTGGATCCCCCCATCCCCCCAGCTCAGGACAAGCTGAAAAAACAGGGACTGTAAGCAGCACCAAGCTCCCTCCCTTGTTTTTTTTTTTTTAACAGAGTCACGTTCGAGGACCTGTGATATTTGAAGTCAGGTGGAGGAGGACATGGTGGAGGTGGCAAAGACAAAAGAACGGTTGATCGCCACCAAGCACGCGCCGTGTGACCTTTTAATCCATCATTAAAGGTCACCATTAAAGCCGTCATCTGATCAAAAGCGGGTATCTTTTAACAAATCAAACCTCAGATCAAACAGTTTTCTGTTTTCTATCATCGAAAATCCGTTTAAAAAGAACAAGAAGAAAATAATAATCCAAGATGATCACCTGCTGAAAAATCGATGGGTTTTTCTCGCGAGATGACGTGGGAAGAAAAAAAAACGATGTCTTTTTCAGGAAAAGGTTGAAGTTATTTGGTGTTTTTTTTTTTTTTTTCTTTTTCTTCTAGCAGCGTTTCTGCGTCGTCGTCCTCTCAGTCAGGCGGATTTAGACGGGTCTAAACGTCCCTTCCTGGGCCTCCTGCCTTTTCCTCCTTCCTCTCTCCGTCTCCCGTCCCCCTTCTTCTGCTGCTGGATGGATGTTTGTTTCCTTCTTTAGCGAGAGGAGTGGTGGGCGATGACGTCACGGGGAAGAACAACGTGTCACCATTGGCTGGCCGGCGGAGCCCCGGAGCGCTCTGAACAGCTCTGTCTGGCTCTGCTTATTACATGTCTGCTCGTCATCCACCCACAAGGACACGAATCCATTTACTGTGTAACACACACTTAAATGGACGAATGAATGAATAATGACGCTCTAGACATAGTTTTTAAAACCATAATAAACAGGGAACGCCCTTTTTCTACCCCATTTGTTTTTATCTATGCGCTTATACTACTACTATCACCATGACCCATATGATAATTTACATCATCAGCAGGAACAGTGGAGACAGAGGCGTAGCCAGAAAATCCTAATAGGGGGGCCCAGTCATTAACCAATGTACATTGAGGAGTGGCCAAAAGGCGCCAGAACCTCAGGGTTAATCTACACTCTTCCAACAGGAATGAGTACAACATCCATATTTTCTAAAAAAAAAAAAAAAAAAAAGACTATCCATACTTTCCTACATCTTTGCTAACAAATAGACACAGATATTTAAACATCTATGCTGTCGAAATTAAAGGTATAGTGGGCAAAATTCTTTCAGGTTTGAGTTTTGGGGCGAACATCTTTGACATTGTCATTACTTACTTTTATCAATAATCATTCTGCAAAAAAAAATATATTTAAATGTACTAATATTCACATTTAATGATATTCAATGATAATGATTGGCTAAGTGTGTGCCATGGCCACCCCTCGCCCCCCATCTAGCTCCGCCCCTGAGTGGAGATTTACAACCTGGGAGTTTTGATGCTGGTTTGTTATGGTAGAGTTGTGGGTCAGTGACTGCACTGGTATAAACATGTATTTTGAAGAGGTAACAACAAACAAACCACAGCGTACATACCGTAGATGAATTGATCTATTTGATCACCACTCAATGTAGGTTTTGTTCATAAAAAGCAGTAAAACATATCTAATCATATAAGTTAATTTTATACAAGTGCAATCCAATATTAAAGACTAAATTGAGTTAATTATTTGAAAAAAAAAATGCAACATGGCTTGGCATTTATTTAATCATATTTAGTTACTTTTAAAGAATTGTTTCCTGTTAGCAGGGTAGGACATAAAACAATTGTGTTAAAGTAACTAAATGTGATTAAATAAATGCCAAAAACTGTTGCATTATTTTCTTACAGTGTAGCCTAATAAGGATCAAATAATTGAACCCAATTTAGTCTTTATTATTGGATTGTACTTGTATAAAATTAACTTATTTGATTAGAAGAGTCCTGCTGAAGTCTGAAGTGTTAGACCCAGATCTTCCATTGGACAGCAGTTCATTCGTAGGTACAGGTGGTTTATGCTGATAGATACTTTACACTTTTAACCCATCGGCTACTGAGATGACAGGAAGGAGACAGAATCTTAACATAGTGGTGTTGGTGCAATTTGCATGTGAAGATGCTCAGTCATCCAGGTCATAGTCATTCCAAAAAAAGGTAAAAAAACAATCCACTGGGCTTTGTTTCCAAATTTAAAGATGTTTTGATTCCCACCATGAAGCTTTTACAATCCTCTTTGAATGTTCTTCCCGTCCATGTGTGGGTTCTCGAAGGGTATTCTGGCTGCTTCCCACAGTCCCAAAACTTTTAGGTTAATTTGAGTCTCTAAATTTCCCCTAGGTCTGAATGTGTGAGTGCATGGTTGTATGTCTCTGCTCTGTGATGGACTTAAGGCCCATCCAAGGTGTAACCTGCCTTTCACTCATAGACTAGTGGGAATGTTTATTCCACCCTTTAGGTTGAATAAATTAATAAATGGTTGAATGGATTAATGGTATTGGTCCAGGATTACTTCCACAAGAAAAAAAAAACACTACTCAGAGAAGAGCTAAGCCAGTGTTAAAATCTATTGGAAAATAATTAGATAGACTGGATAAAAAAAAAAAAAGATGGTTGGTGGGAGCAAAAGGTCTTTTGACAGCTTTGTCCAGAGTTAAGCACATAGCTGTTGGGCTGACGGTATAATATCTGTAAAAACAAAGACTAAACATTGAGGTATTTGCAACAATAGCTCATGTTTAATTTCCAAATTTTGATTTTAACTTTTAGTGTGCTTCATGGCCAAGTACCCTAATGCATACCGGAGCTTTTGGAGTCACTAGACTCCAAACAGACAGAGATTTTCAAGTGGTGTCCTTGAGAATTTGGAAGGCTCTCCCACTGCTACATGCTGCTCAGACTCCACAGAAACATCTAAAGACATTTTTATTCTCACACGCTGTTATTCAATTTGTGGTTTTTAATTACCTATTAAATTGACCAAGACTTTAAAATTACATAATGACAAAGGAAAAAAAATGAATAACTCACAAATTAAACTTCAGCAAACCTCTTACCCAATTATCATTATAGAGCAATAAGCCTCAAACTGCTCAGGATCGAATCTATTTGAGAACAGGCCAAAACCTTTTGTGTGAAAGCACTGTTTGGGTCTATTGCATAAGCTCACACACAGAGGCTGATAATGCTGACTAGACCCACTTGTGTGGATGTTGGCAGTGTAAACAAGTGTTGTGGAAGGTAAAAAAAATGATAAGTGCTGAGTCGCACCAAGAGAGCGGATCTGTTCAAAGCTGTTGTGCAATAGTCCTGTGTTCATAAACAGGGGTGTAGCCACTGACTGAGAGCACTATTGAGGGGGGGAGTATTAATCTAGTGGTTAGAGCAGTGGGTTTATGCTCTGATAAGGTTACAAGTGCCCGGTTCAATCCCCACAGCCTCCACTCTGGGTTCCTGAGCAAGACCCTTAACCCCACACTGTTCTACAATGGTTTAAATGCAGAGATAAATTTCTCCAATGTCAGATCAATAAAGTTAAATTATTAACAATTTCGAATCAATACACAAAAAAAAAAAAAAAACAGCTGAAAAGGTGATAAATACAAGCTTTTTTTAGGTAGTCAACAGAAAACAGTGTGAAGATGATGCTAGTGATTAAAAATTGGGTACAAATGACTGAATGAAAAAGATGCAAAAAGGAAAGTTAACTTCCTGTGTAATTAGGTACTTCTGTTGGGATTAAACAACAAGGGCAAGGTAGGGGGTGGAGTAAACTTTGACAAGAACTTAAAAACAAGACTACTGAAATAGGAATTCTTTAAATGTAAACAAGGAAAGGCTGGTCTGGAATGCTCCAACTCGAGGCTACAGTCGATCAGGAATGGAGAGGCAATAGAAAGGACATCCAACAGGTGTGGGCAATGAGTTAATCAGCTGAAGAGCTGCAGTGCCCTACCTGGCAGCCCCCAGGACATTGCTCAACAGGCATAAACATGGCAAAGCAGGAATAAACTCCAACATAAGCTTGAAAGACTTGAGCCATTCAAAAAGAGGACTGTTACAGCTTCTGAACCAGCTTAAGCTTTAACAAACGTAGGTTTGGCTGCTGAAATAGTTTTACTCCCAACACAGGCTAAAAGACGCTGAAAGAAGTCAAACAAAATCCTGAAATGTCATTACAGGACTGAAACCAGGCTCTGGTAATTGTTTAGATGGTGAATGATTCTACAATCAGACAAAAAAACACAATTCCAACCTTTATTGAAGATGTTTTTAGATGGAAAACTCTGCTCTGTGAGAAACAATTAAAGGCCTGATTTAAATAATTTTCTATTGACGGAAAAGTCCAAAATACACAGATATATGGTGTGCACACGTTAATGGTACTGTAAAACAATTGATAAGATACAGGCTGCAAAGCCTGTTGTTATTTTGCCCCAATGTCTGTTTTTAACAGCTGTTGTCGTGAGAACATGCTACCTTCTGCACTGGTATTGTGAAATTTGAAAACGTGTGCTTACCAGTTACATGTAGAGTGTTATTTGTGCTGTATCGTTTGCCCCAAGGTTTAACAAGTCCAAACACATTCCCCTCTTCTACCCTTTTCTGTATTACATCAGACACCACATGTCCCTAAGCACTACAAGCAGTACTGTGGAGATTGCAAACACTCGTGGTGTTAGTGTTCTGGAGGTACAAACTGTTAGCTATTAGTGGTTAAATTCTTGGAAACAGGGAAGGACAGAAGAGTCTAGCAGACACAGTTTGCCCAGTCAGCTTCAAGCAGAAACTGGAAGTGGAGCGAAGTGAAAGTAAAAATAGCTCCTGGCTGTGGATCTTTACCTAACTTTTTCATTGGGACTTACCCTCTCTCCCACAGAAAAAAAACACAGCCGTACAGACTGATTTTGTTACACACCCAGCTGTAGTGGCATATAACTGACATTAATACAAAAGAAGACTTGTTCATTTCCAGCCAGAGTCAAATCTTTATTACTTTGGCCTTTCTGTATTTAAACCTTAACAGAAAGCAATTGGTCAAGTGTTTTCAAATTAAATTGTCTTGCAAAACTAGTCACACCCTTTCAACCTCTTTCACATTTTGTTTCACATTGCAACCACAACCCAAGGGTAGGATTATTTGCGCATCAAATCACAAGAAGTGGTCTGTAACTAAAAAGTGTTAAGCAATATATAGAATTTCCTGCAAGGGATTAATATATTAATTCTGAAGTTATTCTTGACCCAATCTTGGAAAGAAAATGATAAAGATAAGTCATTTTCAATCCCTCTTTACATATCAGCAACTTACTTTAGAGGTCAATCTAATCTCAGCCTAAACCGAACTGTTCTATGAAGACAAGCGTTGTTAGAGAACTTCACTAGGCAAACAGAATGAAGTAACTCTGAATAGGTTCACTTAGACTGACTGCAAAGGCAAGGAGAGCATTAATCATAAGCTCCATGGAGGTATTTTTTTCGGGGGACAGGAGGGACATGTTCCCTGCACTTTTTCAAAAGTCTATTTTGGTCCAATGCACGTTTTACTGTCCAAAAACAATGTTATGCTATAGTGTACAGACATTTGTCGAGCACTAGGACCAAACGGAAAACTACAGCTCAAAGTGAAGCCCGGATTCCCAGA